CCTCGCCGGGCCCCGGGGCCGCCCACACAGCACGACTGAGGATGAGAAGCTGGCCCCGGGGCCCCTGGGAGAAGGTCGGGGCTCCCAGGGGCCTCGCAGGGACAACGTCAGGACGCCGCACGTCTGGGGAGTACCCTTCCTCCTGCTCCCCCTGCTCCTCCACCTCCTCCTGCTCCTCCTCCTCCTCCTCCTGCTCATCCTCCGCCTCCGCCTCCTCTTCTTCTTTCTTCTCCTCCTCTTCCTGTTCTGTCTCTCCTCCTCCTCCCCCCACTTTGGGGCGTCGCCACGCCATGCTATGGGGCCTGCGCGCCCGGAGAGCTGGTCCCGGGGCAGGCGCGCGCGCACGCCAGGGGTCCCTGTTGCCTCGGGCCGCGCTTTCGCGCGCGAGGTCGCTTCGCTTCGGCTCGGTCCGCCGGCGTCGGCCGGGGCCGCCGGCGTCGGCTGGGGCCCGCGGGAGCCCGGCGCGGCGGTCCGCCTGCGGCGCGGCGGTGGGGCGCCAGCTTCGCTGGCGATCCGCTCCGGTCCGGCCCGATCCGCTTTCGCAATCCTCCGGTCCTGCCCGCAGGTCAGCAGCAGCAGGAGGCCGGCAGGACGGGGAGGCGGGGAGGCGCAGCGCACACCCGCCACGCCACGCCCCGCTGCCGAAGGGCAGGAGGCACCTCCGCGTCGCGAGGGCCCTCGTGGCCGTGGCCACGCGTGGGCGGCGGCGCAGCCCTGGAGAAGCCTCTCGCAGGGCCGCGATCGCTCGTGCCATGGGCCAGCGTGGGGAAAGCGCGCGGATGTATCCCGAAGAGTTTGTCAGAGGGTCCTGCGGGAAGCGCTGGGGGCGGGGCGCCCATATACAAAGTTTTTTGGTCTGCGGGGCGAGAGCGAACCTCGTCCGACAAAAGCTAGGCGGGCTATAGCACCGCTCAAATTGGGGAGACGGGGCACAGGCGGGCGGGGCCTCAGGCGGCCGGAGAGGGCGGGGCCCGGGGGCGCCATATACAGAGGGCGTCGTTCGGAGGTGGATAGACCTCCTACCCTGACACGTCGATTAAGGAATTGGCCGTTTTCGGTTCGCGAGAGGGCGTCACGGCCGTCATTTTTGCGGGTTCAGGTCCGTCGGTTTCGGTCCCAGGCCATTTTCATTAAGGGGAGGTCTACTAAAGGGAGGTTTGTCCACCGCCGAAGAGGGCGTCGTGATGGGGCGCTGGCGCGCCAGGCACAGCAACTCGTCAAGCGCGGCCTAAGGCGAACTGCGGCGGGGACCCCCGGCCGTGGCTTGTTGCGCGGGCGCGCCTGGCAGCACGCGCGGGCACGGGCCACCCCCGCAGCGCTCAGCGCCATTTGATTTTGAAGTGGCCCGAGGACGCGGATGCACCCTAGGCGATGTCTAATAAAACTTACGTTTTCGGCCAGAGTCTCGATGATTCTTAATGTTTCAATGTAAATCCTAAGATACTAATCGAAATTCTGTGTTTGTATTCAAATTCTGAGACGATGAATTTCTTCACCCATGATTTCTTAAGCATTTCGCAGGGTGTACACACGATCCGCAAGCTGACAGCAAGGTGGCCGTCCATTGGCTTCCCTCTGCTTGGCGTTGCACCCGGCTGCCCAGAAGGGTAAGTATGACACATCCAAGCTTAAGTCGGGCACGCCCCTCTACAGGAGGAAACATTGACAGTATTTAGAGAAATAGTCTGGGGACGATGGTCTGGGTATTTGGGGGCATTTGTTATGCATGCTTTGATTATTTTTCCCGGAAAGGGCATAAGCCTAGGGTTCTCTTTTAGTAGGTTTACCCCCGGGTTTGATTTGAGGTGGGCCGGCGAATTTCTTCTGCGATAAATATCGAGGTCGAGGTGGGCCGGCGAATCAAACATTGAGGATGTCTCGAGCGAAACGCTTGTTTTGTGTTGTCCTCTCCTGGGGACCAGAATTCAGAGGATCTCTCAAGTGAAATGCTTCTTTTCACGTGCCCAGGTCTTGAGGATGTCTCAAGCGAGACGCTTAGTTTCACGCTTCCAGGTTGCCCAGGCAGAGGTCTAGCGCCAGGATTTGTTGAGGATGTCTCGAGCGAGACGCTTGGTTTCACGCGTCCTCGTCGCCCAGGTGGATGTCTAGCACGAGGATGTGTTGAGGACGTCTCGATCGAGGTACTTGTTTGTGCGTATCCAGGTTGCCCAGGCGGATGCCTAGCATGAGGATGTGTTGAGAATGTCTCGAGAGATACGCTTGTTCTCACGTGTCCAGGTCGCCAAGGCGGATGTCTAGAATGAGGAGGTGTTGAAAACGTCTCGAGCGAAACGCTTGTTTTCACGTGCCCAGGTCACCCAGGCAGACGTCTCACATGAAGATGTGTTGAGGATGTCTCGAGCGAACCACTTGTTTTCACGTGTCGAGTTCGCCCAGGCGGATGTCTAGCATGAGAATGTGCTGGGGATGTGTTGACAGAAACGTTTGTTTTCACGTGTCGAGGCCGCTCAGGCGGATGTCTAGCATGAGGATTTTGACAGGATGTCTCGAGCGAAACGCTTGTCCCCAGCACGTTCCCTACCGCGTCCCCTTGACACGTCCCGCGGTGCGTCCCCATGGCACGTCCCCTGGCACGTCGCTTGGCGCGTCCCTGGAGACGTTCCGCGGCGCGTCCTTCTGGCATGTCCCCCTGTCAATTAGCTCTGCGGCAGATATGATGTGTTCAGGCAGCTCGAGCTTCAGATCCAGAGCAGTTCGGTCAGGACTCGGATGCAAAGGAGGACTCGACCCACGACGCTATAGAGCACAACCGTGGCATGGCACATTGCAATTCAGCACGGTGCAGCACAGCACAGCCCTTGACACAGTACATCAAGATCGATACATTCAGTATTGCAACCTGGCACGTTCCTTGGCACGTTCCGTGGGGCGTCCCTTGGCGAGTCCCCCTGGCACGTCGCGTGGCGCGTCCCCTGGCACATCCCGTGGCACATCCATTGGAACGTTCCGTAGTGCGTCCCCTTGGCACGTCCCGCGGTGCGACCCCATGGCACGTCCCTTGGCACGTCGCCTGGCGCGTCCCTTGGGACGTTTCGCGGCGCGTCCACCTGGCATGTCCCCCTGTCAATTAGCTCTGCGGCAGATACCATGTGTTCAGGCAGCTCGAGCTCAAGATCCAGTTCAGTTCGGTCAGGACTCGGACGCAACGGAGGACTCGATCCACGACGCTATAGAGCACAACCGCGGCATGGCACATCGTAATTCAACACGGTGCAGCACAGCACAGCCCTTGGCACGGTACATCAAGATCGATACACTCAGCATTGCATTTGCCCGCCACCCAATCAGGTGTCTTTGAAAACGTTGCCATGCGTTACATTTCTATCTTCCTTTCCTGGTTCGTGGGTCGATCATGTTTAATTTGTCATTCAAAATCCGTCTGTAGGAGGACACGCCCGACCTAAATCTAAGTTGAATTGCACCAGGCGTGGCGGTCCCACGAAATCCAATCAACAGAGGTTGACAGCTAGCGGGGCGGGTGCGCCACGATTTCTGACAGCGGAGCCGGAGGGCAGATGCAGTCAGCTGGGTAGATTTTTGGGGCGATGGGTGTGCCGTGCATCGTCCGAAATTTGCGGCGCGATGCGATTGTGCGACGTCCCACCTCCCTGGCTTTCGCAGGCGGCTCTCGCTGACGGACGGGAAAAAATGGGGCTGCGCACGTTGGACTATACCAAATCTGGGCCCGAAGAGGCGCGGTGGCGGGGCGGACCCGCTTTGGGTGCTGCTTGCGCGGCGGATGCACAAGTGGAGGGTCTGCCACAGATGATTCGCGGCCCCTTCTGGTCTCCCTGGAGGAGGCTGTTTGCAGCGTTTGACTTTGTGCGCAGGGATGGTTTGGAAACTTCCCGAGGATGCCCTGCCATGAGAACCAGTCATGTGCACGTGCCGATCGAGGCCCTGCCTCCTCTCGGCGTCCGCTGCCTCATCGTCGACCCCCTACTGCTAAGGCCTTACGGCCGGTGCCGCCGTCCCTGGACGACGACCCCGATGATGGCAGAGGCATTCAGGAAGGTCGGGATCAAACGCTCCCAAGGGTGCCCCAGAGGCTACACGGGGCCCCCAAGAGGTGCCCAGGAAGCCCCACGAAGTTTTGAGGGTGCCTCGGGAGCCTTTGGGGAGCTTCCTGGGGCCTCCTGGTGGTTCCTCTGGGTTCGCCAGAGGGCCTCGTGGGGGCCTTTGGGGGGCTTTTTGGGGCCCCGGGACCCTCCGAGGGGGGATGGTATTCTTACCTGGGACGACCCCCCCCCACTGGCGGGGGAGCCACCAAGGGGAAGGGGCCTTCCCCTCGAATCAAGTGCCACGCTGCTCCATTTCGCTCAGGCTGTTCCGCGTTGGCTGGCGCGCTTACGCAGGAGAGCCTAGGAAGCGGGGGGATCGGCGACGACGACGACGACGACGACGACGACGACGACGACGACGACGACGACGACAACGACGATGACGACGACGACGACGACGATTCAAATGAAACAGCCTCTCGCACACGCCGACCTCATAATTAGTCGCCCTCCTATTTCGTCTTCATTTCTCGCCATCCTTCTCCCCAACCGCCCCTTCACACCTGCGACAACCCCCTCGAACCCTTCGAACACCAATTGTTATTTACATCGTCGTCGTCGTTGTTGGTGTTGCTGCTGCTGATGTTGGGGTTGTTGATGTTGTTTGATGTTGTTGTTGATGTTGTTGTTGTGGTTGTTGTTGTTTATGTTGTTTGTTGTTGTTGCTGCTGCTGTTGCTGTTGTTGCTGTCGCTGTTGTTGTTGCTGTTGTTGTTTCTGATCAGAGTGCTCATGTGTTCATGCAGCAGTGTATCATTAGCATGGGAAGGTAGGAAGATGCAGGTAAGGTAGGGATGTATACATAGCCGTTTGGTTCAGTGAAAAAGCAAGCAAACTTGATTATGGTAGCGCACTGGTAGAGCCCAATACGCGCGCACCCGTTCCTCGATAGGTTCGTTTATTTCGTGAACGGCTTGAGCCAGAGTTCAACACCAGGGTTAACTTCAACATAAAGGTAGAGTTCAACATGCAGGTAGAGTTCGACACAATGGAGCAGATTGTGCAACAGCTTCAGGCGACGCTGGAACGTCAACAACAAGACATTCAATTACTACGTCAACAGCTTGCGGCGGAGCAGGCCAAGACGTCGGTCATCGAGCGCCTCGCGACGTCGATCGACAAGATGGCTGCGAATAGTGGGTCGTCATCCCTTGTGGACACCAAGGGCATAGGCAAACCCACTACGTTTGGAGGCGGGGACGAGAAGGATCTAGAGAAGAAGTTCGGCGTGTGGCAGAGGAGGACCCAGAACTTCATCGTGAGCGTGCACCCGTCTCTGGACGACGTGATGGAGTGGGCCATCGAGAATAAGGAGACCATCACGAACGACATACTGCTGCAGGCCTTTGGCGACGATGCGGATCCAGCCAACAAGATCGATGACATTTTGGAGAAGCCCCACCAGGTGTACAGCATGTTGGTCCAGATCACAGAGGGCGAGGCCAATGACATCGTGTGCAACTCTGGGTCCAACGGGATGGAAGCCTGGCGGAAGTTAAGCAGACGGTTCGACCCGCTTACTGGGGGTAGGGTTCGCAACCTACTTAGGCAGATCATCAGCCCCGGGAGGTGCTCCGTGGACGTTATTGCGGGCGGCTTGGAGCGTTGGGAGGAGCTGGTGACGAAGTACGATCGCTCCAACACGTCCCGGGGAGAGGCCCGGACCCTACCAGAGGACATAAAAATGGCTGCGCTCGAAAGCCTTGTCCCCCAGGAGCTGGAGACGCACCTGCAGCTGAACGCCACGAGGTTCGACACCTACATGGACATGAGGACCGAGATCGTGCGTTACGTGGAGGCGCGGCTCGGAGCCAAGATTCGTGGACCACAGGTTCAGCAGCATGATCGTCATCGAGACCGTGGCAGCGACATGGACGTGGACATGGGATCCCTCCAGAGGCACCCGAAGGGCAAGGACGGCAAGGGCAACTCCGGCAAGGGCTTCGACGGTTACTGTTTTAATTGCGGGGGCTGGGGACATCGCAGTTCCGACTGCCGGAGAGCTCCCCAGGACGGCAAAGGCCGTGGAGGAAAGAGCGACCCCAAAGGCAAGGGTAGGGACTCCAAGGGTAAGGACACCAAAGGCAAAGCACGAGGATCAGGACCGAAAGGAGGCAAGTCAGACGGCAAGGGGGATAAGAATCGAGATCGTAATCGACGTCCACTTCGTTCTGTTGAGGAGGAAGGAGAGGAGGACGAGCATGACCATGATCAAGGAGGAGCTCATGAGACGGGGGCGTTTGAATTGTGCACCCTCGACCTGTGCCCTCTCACGAGCATCACCAGCGACGATTTCGACGAGCACGGCAACCCGAGGACACGCTCTCCCGCACGAGACTGGCGTGACGACGACGGGCGTCGTAACGGCGGGGGCCGGCGCGACGATGGAGCCAGAAGTGGTCATGACGCTCATCCTCACGATCATCATCGTCAAAATCATCCCCATCATGGGTCTCGCACGCGAGCCGGATTGCATAACGCTCCTTGGCGTGCCGAGGGACACGGATCTGGCAACGGAGCTGGACCACATACCGGATCTAGGTCTGACTATGGACACGGGTCAGGCGTGCGAGATGGACGACATACCGGATCTAGGTCTGACTATGGACACGGGTCAGGCGTGCGAGATGGACGACATACTGGATCTAGGTCTGATTATGGACACGGATTTGACAAGGGAGCTGGACGACATACCGGATCTAGGTCTGATTGTCGAGACGGATCTGGCGTGCGAGATGGATCACTTACCGGAGCAAGGTGCGATTCTGGAGCTGGATGTGACGAGCGAGCCGGACGAGATAGTGGAGCTGGATATCATCATCGAGATGGCTCTGACCAGCGAAACGGACGAGATAACGGAGCTATACGTGACCATGGCACTGGACTTGGACACGGAGTGGTTCGTACGGCGACGATGTCTCGCAGTGACGGCATTGACATTCGTTCGCGTTCGAGGGCCCAGAGGAGTAGGTCATCACCCCCTCGACGTGGCAAGGTGGAGCTGAGGAAGCCGGAGCTTGAGGTCAACTCCGTGGACATGAACAGCTTCAAGACTGCGAGTGGCGAGGTCGTGGACGACGAGGGTCCGTTCCAGTTTCTTGGTTACTCCTTGAATGGCCAGCTCTTCCGGTTGAACGGGCGCCTGGCGGACATCCACAAGCCGTTGGTGTCGGCAGGCAAAGTCACGGAGAATTGCATGATCATCTTGAAGGAGCACACCGGCCACGTGATCCCTAGGACGAGTAACCTTGCCAAGAAGATCAACGAGGTGATCCAGAACGAGTTGGAGGCGTCACCGAAGCAGGAGCTGCTGAAGCTGAAGAACGAGCTGTGGAAGTTCAACCTGGACACGGGCGCTGCGTGCACGGTGTTCCCGACTAAATGGGCGAAGCCGGACGACGACGCTTCGAGGTCAAAGCGGGAATTGGCTCCCATGGAGGCTGCGGCGGCCAATTCTTCGGCTCCGGCGGGGGGCCGGAGGCAGGCCGGCAGGCTGCAAGCCCAAGAGCGGCCCTCGGCGAGCCCGCCGCCGGGGATCGTGAGCCGCAAGGGCAGGAGCCGGACGCATCGGAGGAAGCGCGGCGTCCGAAGACTCGGGAGATTCCCATGCAGCCGTCGCGGGAAGAGGTGGAGGAACATGAACTTCAAGGGCACGTTCAATACCGGACGTGGTGCAGGCACTGTGTGGCTGCAAGGGCTTACGGGCAACCTCATCGCGAGGTGGTGGGGGGCGACCCGGAGAGCACGGAGGCGATTCCGGAGATCGTCACGGATTACTTCTACATGGGCGAGGAAGAGAAGGCTGCGACGCACGTTTTCATCAAGGACCGGGTCACCAGCATGATCGGCGCGGCTGTCTTGGACGGCAAGACGAGCACGTATGCGGCGAAGTATTTCACGAATTTCTTGGTGGAGCTAGGGTACCGCAGGATCATCTTGAAGAGCGACAACGAGCCTGCGTTGTTGAAACTGCGCAGGGAGGCTGTGAAGGACATGCAGATCGAAGTTGTGCCACGGGAGTCGCCTGTGAGCGATCACCAGGCCAATGGTGCGGCTGAGAGTGGCGTCCGCGAGGCTAAGAAGGGCATCCGTGCCCTCAAGACGTCCACCGAAGACCGGTATGGAAGGAAGCTCGCTGAGGACCACGTGCTCCTAGCGTGGCTTGCGCGGCACGTGGTTCAGACGTCCAATCGGTACAAAGTCGGTGAGGACGGACGTACGCCGGTGCAGCGGTCAACTGGCAGGCGGTGGAAGAAACCGGCATTATTGTTCGGAGAGTGCATTATGGCGAGGCTGGCGGTGACTAGGGCTGGCATCATGATTCCGGGTGTGTACGTCGGCCATTCTGCACGGTCAGGCAGCCTTATTATCTTGACGGAGGACGGCGTTCGCTACGCGAAGTCGTTCCGGTAGCGACCCCACGGTGAACGTTTTGATCTAGCTCTTCTTGATAAAGTTCGGGGTCTGCCATGGGATGTAGCACATCGCGCGGGGCGTGCACCACAGGTTCTAGAAGGACGTGAGGCTGTAGGACTTCCTATTCTACCTCCTCCAGGTGCCGCTGGGGCCCAGGAAGGGCTCAAGAGGGACGTGTACATCGCAGCCAAGATGACGGAGAAGTACGGCCTGACGCCGGAGTGCCCGGCCTGCACGGAGATATTCTTCGGAGGTTCGACCAGGCAGGGCCATGCACCGACGTGTCGTTCACGGATCGTGGAGGCGATGGAGAAGGACCCGGACGGTCGTCTCCGGCTAGCGGCGGCGAGAAAACGGAAGAAGGCTTCGACGGCAGCGCCAGATGCCAAGCAGGAGTCTGAGGTGGAGGACGCCGTGCGCGAGAAGCCGGAGGAGGAGCAGGAGGAGGTGGACATGACTGTGGGGGAGGTTGGAGGATGCGCCGGAGGTTAGGACAGAGACCAGGGCACCCCCCCACAGCCCCATCTACAATTAGAAGGGGGACCACATGCAGGTAGTGAAGCCCGAGCGCAACATGAAGTGCGACATCGGCAGCCTAAGCGAGCAGGACAGCCAACGAGCGCAGGACCAGCGAGCTCGAAAGCGAGGCCGGCATCCCCGGGACCTCGGAAGAGACCGGCCGGAGTGCCCTTGGAGGACATCGGCCCGGCGGTGCCCAGGCCGGACGTGCAGGCAGGCGGTTCGAGTGCATCGACGGCGGCACCCGCCGCGGGCTCGAGCTCAGGAGCCATGGCTGGGACGAGTGGCATCTCAGAAAAATCGGCGCCGGCGGTGGGCCAGGCGCGCAATGCAGACGTGGGTGCGTTCTCTGCGTACAAGGACAAGTACTTCGCAGAGACGTTTAAGCACGTGACGGAGTTTTACACCGGCTCGGAGTTCGAGGGCGACGGCATCCGGGGGGGTATCCCGGATAGCAGTCGAGATGTCCGCAATGGACGTCAGTGAGGTCCTTTCCCGAAGCAATCGTCGTCTTGGACTTCGTGCAGGTTTCGCCATTGATTTACGACTTCAGCGACCTGACGGGCAGTTCTGGGACCTTTCACGGGATGAGGACATAGACATGTTAGATAAGCTCCAGGACAAGTACAAGCCTGAGGTGTTGATCGGGTGTCCATCGAGTACTGTGTTTTCGAGGCTTCGGTCGCCATCGAGAGTAAACTTGGGCCCAAACACCGTGAGCTTAGAGATGCAGGACGGCCGGAGGCACTTGAGAGCGAGTGTCGACGCGTACCGGAAGCAGATCAAGATGGGCAAGTTGTTCTTGCATGAGGTTCCTGGGATTACCACCTCCAGGGACGAGGACATCATGGCGGAGCTGGAGAACATGCCGGGAGTGTACATGGTGGCCGGTCCCATGTGCAAATGGCGGCTGGCAGGCGCCATCCAGAGCGGAAGATCTGGTTACGTGCGCAGAGAAACGTCGTGGTTAACGAACTCGCGAGAGTTGGCCGCTATGCTGCAGGACGAGCGTGTGAGCCTGCAGGGCAAGAGTGGTTGGTATCGGCATGTACGTCCAGTTGGTTTTCAGAAGGTGAGGTCTACGCAGATATATCCGCCGAGGCTGATGTATGCGATTTTACGTGTGGTTCGTGATCAGCTTGTTCACCGGATGGAGTTGTCGAGTATGGACATTTGCACGGCTGGGCCCATAGCTGACGAGCCGGAGGTGTACAGCGACGAACAGTGGAAGACGTATTACGACGACGTCAACGGCGGGATACCACCGACGAAGTTGGTGGAGGACGCTAGTCAGTTGGAGCGGGACTGGGTTGCCAAGGAGGGCGTGTACACCAAGGTCCCGCGGGAGGTCAT